TGAGGCTGAGAGTGTGTGACTTGCACAAGCTCACCCAGTGGGTTTCCATGGCCGAGCTGGGAGTCGTAGTCTAACACTCAAAGCACGATGCCATAGAGACTCACAGGGCTATAATTAACATTCAGGGGTAGTTGTGTGGGCCACTTAGCAAATTCAAACAAAAACCCATCAGTGATGCCTTTATTGGCCAACCAAAAAGCACAATATATATAATTGTATAGTGTAGAAGGCCAGCTTTGGAAACGGCTGCAGGGACTTGCGCTCTCGCTAAAAATCTGGGGCTAAGAGTAGAGTTGTGTGTTTGTGGCCTGCTCTGGGCCATCCAGACCTAGACACTAAGGGGGGTTGCAGACTGCCAGAAATAGTGCAAATTATGAGTCCACTTTTAGGGTTAGGGTTAGGGAATCATGGGAACTGTATGGCACCAGAGCTCTCTGACAGAGAAGGCTCAATGTCTCAGAAAAAAACAATTCCCATGATTCCCTAGCTCTAACCCTAATCCTAAACGTGGCCTCAATTTGCACTATTTCTGGCAGTCTGCAACCCCCCTATGATTACAACACATAGTCTAGAACGGTTTCACACTAAATAGTTATAACACTATCATTGTTCCACTTTACCTGCTATCCTATGGAATCCTGGGAGTTACAGTTTAGACAGGAGGCCTCAGCCAGGGAGCTCCCCGGTATCTCTGACCAAACTATAAATCCCTGAACTCTATATTATGCCTCCATGGGAGTTAAAGGGGAACCACAGAGGCAAATTGTGTAATGCAGTGATTTCCAAACTTTGGTCCTCAGTATTTCATCTCCCAGAATTCCTGACTCCTGGCAGGGGCGAGTCCAAAACACCTGGAGGACCAAAGTTTGGGAACCACTAGTAGTGTGAAAGGGCCCCCAGGGCCAGGACCCATCTTCGAGGAGAATGACGCCTTTCCCTGAAAGAAGAGCACATTGCTATCTCCGTAACTGGGGATGATTGTACTTCTTCTGCCAGAAGTCAAGACATAGCCGTGGTAGTCTCTGAACTCAGTATGGAAAGAGATCTTGGAGCCCTGCGCTTTTCAGCCTCAGGTGCCAGGTTTCGGGCATTGCACCTTTTGAGCTGGGCTTGGGGAAAGAAAGCGCCATTCATTGCCTGTTCTCTGCAAAATCTCTTGCACTGGAGCTGATGATATTCGTAGAACCGATGGAGAGAGAAGAAAGGGGCGCTTAGGACGGGGATGATGGGTTTTAGGTGGCGAAAGCTATAGGCGTTTTGGGCTGTCGGAGTCCGGGTTTGGTCCCTAGGATTCCTGCGCTCTGGAAG